CGTTACAGCTCAGCAGTCACACTGGTCGGCTGGCCAGCCTTGGGGCTCCCCTTCAGGGGCAGGCTTTATGCAGCGGGCCACAGTCCTGTGCACCCGGCCCACTCGAGGGCACTGAGCGGCTAGTCCCGGTGCCCGCCTGGCTCCAGAGTTCTCTTTGAACTTCATTTCCCTCCAAATCCCCCTCCCCCCATGTCGGGTGGAAAGCGCAGGTCCCTCTCTGTTTTATTTTATATTTAGCCACCTTGCTCTGTCTACAGCCACTGTTGCCCAGAGATTGCACGGCCCTTGGGGCCCAGGGCAGGCATCTGAGAGAAGCCACGGGCAAATGCAGGCCCAGCCTCTGTGCCTTCGCTTCTGTCTTCGAATTAGAATATTCTAGAGTCTTGCAAAGAACCGGAGCCGGCTCTTCCCAGCGCCTTTCTCAGGGGGGGACACTTCTGGGGGCCTCCAGCTCCCTGGGTTTGGTCTCACTTGGCTGCTTCTGATTTCCAGGAGAGCCAGGCCCAAGCGGCGATTCTAAAGCATCACAATTCTGCCTTCAAGTGAAGAGCAGCATCTCAGAGGTGAGAAAGTACTTTATGCTTTTTCTCACACTAATTTAAAGTCATCGGAAAACTATTTCATTGACTTTTTCAAAGATTGATTTATTTATGCAATACAAGAACTGAGGAGCAGGCCAGAGGTGGGGGGCGAGAGGACTCCCCAGAGACAGAGTGGGGAGCAGAACAGGCAGGTTCACTGGAATACACTGCTGAGGGGACAGTGGCGGGAGACGGAGGTCTGCTGCGCCCCAGGGTCCCTCCCTGGCCGGGGTGCACTCAGCTGCTGCGCTTTAACCCGCTGTGCCACCAGGGGCCTGTTCCGTCGACTTTTAATCCAGTTTGTAGATGAGTAAACTTTCATATGTAGATACTTGTGACCCTAAAACAACCCTTACATGACATTCAAAGGGCGCTTATCCATGTCTTGGGTGAGGAAGAGTCAGGGAGCCGTTGCTGAAAGTGAGATAAATGACCTGCGCTTCTGTGAGGGAATCACGTGAAGATCCGGAGCTGAGGGCTGGGGACGGGCGGAGGGCGTGAGGTTGGCGTAGTTTTTAAACTGTAGATTTGGGGACCGATGGCCACAGCACGGGGTCCCCTCAGCTTCCTGGGAAACAGTTCCACAACATTTATTTTTAAATGAAGATTTTAAAAACGCATCAGAATCGCATCTTTGCCACCAGTTAAGTTTAATAGTGAAACTCTTTGTTCGACCTGAAATGGTGACAAATGTCCGTGTTGCAGAAACGTGGGGTAAGGGAGCATGTTCTGGAGCCCTGCGGGGGGGACCGCAGCAGCTGTCACCCCGTCTGCTTCTTGGGGTCCTCCCGCCATTGTCATTCCCGCCGACAGAGGGCAGGGGGTTCACGGGGTCCCGCCAGCCTAGCGGGGTGAGGGCCGTGACGGAAAGCGCCAGACTCTGGTTTGCGGTCATGGTGACCGGTTTGCTGTGCAACTGAACTAAAGCAGGAAGAAGAAGATGGTGCAGGGTGAGGGACAGAGCCTGGCCAGGGACTCGGCCGCCGCCCCCGACCTGCCGTGCCACGAGGACGCTGCCCTGGCGAAGCCAGACCAGGTAACAGCCAGCGCAAGCCCCTGCCCACATGGACGCGAGCCGCGCCCGCCCCGAGCTGCCCCCCCCCCCAGGCCCTGTGAGCCCTGTGCTGGGCAGCGGGCGGCCGGCTGGCTTTGGTCAGGCCCCGACCTCGGCTGGTCCTTGGATGGACGGCGCTGGAGTCAGCGCAACCAGATGGTAGTTCCACTGTCTTTGTCAAGCTCATGGCGAAAATGCTGGGGGCTTTTATTTATTGTGACTGTTAATATACTTGGTTTGGGAAGAATAGTTTGCTCTTTGCTCTCTACTTGCTGTATATCGCCTCTATTTCCCCTTTTCTCCTCTTCTTAATTAATCAAGTAAGCATTCTTGATGACGCCACCTTACTGCCTTCCTGGCTTCCCATGTGTCGCTGCTTGAGGGCTATCTCGTGCCTTTGCCACGACAGTGTGTGCTTTATCTCTAATATCAGACCATCGTAACAAGGAAATCTCCCTTCCGGCCTCTACGCTGTTTTTTCACGTGCTTTCATTTTTCTTCTATCAACCCCCCACAATACCACTTACTAGTTTGGCTCACCCAGCCTTTAAAATACTAAATAATAAAAAACGTATATCAGTTACACCATTTCTGGTGTAGATTCTTTCGCAGAGATTAAGATTTCGATTCGAAATCATCTCCTCTTGCCCGAAAGACTCATGACCTCGTTTGATCCTAATTCCCTCGTCCACATTTCCTGGGGTGCAGGCCTGCTGGTGATGAATCTTTCCATCTTTTGCTTGTCTGAGAAGACTTGCCGTCGCGTCGCTTGGGGAAGCTGCGGGCAGAGAGGTTCCTCCCTGGTGACCCACCTGACTAGCCAGTAGGCTTAAGCACTCAGCTTGCGGTTTGCATTCTGCGGTGCCGCACCGGGGCGTCACGGCTCAGTGCAGCACGGCGGCCCGGGCCCGTCCTGAGGAGCACACGACCACGCTGCATCCTCATGTCCACAAGATATTTCTGCTGGGCGCGAATTCTAGGTCGACAGGGCTTCCTTTTAGCACGTTCAAAGTGCCCCTCCACTCTTTGCCCTTCGGTCGTTTCTGACGAGAAATCTGCTGTCAATCTAATTTTTGTTCCTCTGTATGGAGCGTGTCATCCTCTGATTGGCCTGGAAGTTTTCTCTCTGTCACTGGTTTTGAGTAATTTGACTATAATGTGATTATGTCGTTTATCTCCTGTTTCTTATGCTTAGGGTTCGTCAGACTTCTTGAGTTTTTGCGTTAATAGTTTCAAGTTTGGGGAATTTCTATCAGCTTTTCCAATATTTCCTCCTGCTCGTCTTCCCCTCGCTTTCGAGAGTTCCAGTAGCCGCCTGCTAGGCCAGCAGACAAGGCCTGTGGCCCGCAAGCGGACACTGAGCTCTCAGATTCTGCTTTCTCCAGAAGCATGAGACCAGCCTGTACAGCCACTACGAGGAGAAGGTGCGGCCCTGCATCGACCTCGTGGACTCCCTGCGGGCCCTGGGCGTGGAGCAGGACCTGGCGCTGCCCGCCATCGCCGTCATCGGCGACCAGAGCTCGGGCAAGAGCTCCGTGCTGGAGGCCCTGTCGGGGGTGGCCCTGCCCAGGGGCAGCGGTGAGCACTTGCCCTCGGGCTGCCTGACCACACAGCATGAGCCCAGCGGCTCAAGAAACAGAAGTAGGCCCGCACAGTCCCGCCAGGAGCGCAGGGTGGAGGTGCCGGCGGCCGGGCCCCCCGAGGCCGCGCTCCCTGGCCTGCAGAGGGCCGTCCTCGCCCTGTGTCCTCGGGAGCCTGTCCTGTTCCAGATGACGCTGGTCATCTCTCACTTCACCCTAGTGCCCTCTTTAAAGAAAGGCATTGTCTCCCAGTGCAGTCCCTCGACAAGGGTGACGGGGGTACACTGCCACCTGTACCCTGGGGAGGGCACCATCCGGCACATTCTTTCCTCGCACATTTGTGGAGGGGTATTTGGGCCCCCGCTCAGGGTGGCCTTCCAAAGAGTGGGTGTCCATCCGGGCTGAAGACGGGCCTCTGGTGGCCGGTGCTGCTTAAGCCACCAGGCCAAGGTTATCAGTGTGGGTGTCAGGGAAGAGGGCTGATGGGTGCAGGGGGGATGTGGAAGGAGATTGCAGGTGGGGGCTGTTTGGTGGGACCCAGGCTCCTTCCTGATGGGCTGGGGGAGGGGGGCGGTGGGAGGGGGGGGTGGTCTCTGGAACTGCCCTGCCCTGACCTCCTAGGGATCGTGACGCGGTGCCCCCTGGTGCTGAAGCTGAAGAAGCTGATGAACGAAGACAGCTGGAAAGGCAAGATCAACTACCAGGGCGTCGAGGTTACTATAGCTAAAGCTTCGGATGTGGAACAAGAAGTCAATAAAGGTGAGGCCACGTCCGGGGCCCGGTCCCATCCAACGCTCAGCCCCCTTCACGCAGGAGCGCCCGCCCTTGCCTGCCCAGGGAGGGAGAGGCGGGCATCACCCCATCAGCCCCCCTCACGCTGCGTCTGTCCTGCGGCGCCACCTGGCGCTGACCCTCGGCCAAGCCCCCGAGGGGGCAGACTAGGGGCGTCCGGGCACCCTGCGGGCAGGTCACGCCCGGGCGCTGGGCTCAGGCACACCGCAGGTCCGGTTCTGGTGCTATGAAGCCTGGAGGCGGCGCCCGGCGCTGGCTCCGGCTCTGGCTCCAGGCGCTTCTCATCGGGGCTCCCGCTCCCGGCCCCC